GGCGCGGGGGGGGGAGGACGGGGGGGGACGGGGGGGGGCGGGGGGGTGGCGGGGGATGCCAGGGCACTGTCCCCATCGTCACTCACCTGGTGGCACTGTCCCCAGCGCTGGCAGGGGATGACAGGGGGTGACAGGGGGTGGCAGGGGGGTCACAGGGGGGTCACACGGCACTGTCCCCATCGTCACTCACCTGGTGCCGCTGTCCCCGGCGCTGGCAGGGCTCAGCCAGGGCACTGTCCCCATCGTCACTCACCTGGTGGCACTGTCCCCAGCGCTGGCAGGGGATGACAGGGGGTGACAGGGGGTGGCAGGGGGGTCACAGGGGGGTCACACGGCACTGTCCCCATCGTCACTCACCTGGTGCCGCTGTCCCCGGCGCTGGCAGGGCTCAGCAGCCCCCGGCAGAGCCGGCGCAGCCGCAGCGGCACGGTGACAGCCAGCACGGCCAGCGCCCCGTGTGCCACCACCGAGACGGCGCTGAAGCGCGACAGCGAGCCCAGGGCCACCAGGGCCAGCAGCAGGGCCAGCGCCGAGCGCACGGGGACGCGCCAGGACAGCAGCTCCCAGAGCGGGGACAGCGGGGACACTGGGGACAAGGACAGAGCTGTCACCCTCAGTGCCACCCCAGGGCCACCAGGGCCACCAGGGCTCTCAGTGTCACCCCAGGACAGCAGCTCCCAGAGCGGGGACAGCGGGGACACTGGGGACAGAGGGACAGAGCTGTCACCCTCAGTGTCACCCCAGGGCCACCAGGGCCACCCCAGGGCCACCAGGGCCAGCAGCAGGGCCAGCGCCGAGCGCGCGGGGACGCGCCAGGACAGCAGCTCCCAGAGCGGGGACAGCGGGGACACTGGGGACAAGGACAGCAGTGTCACCCTCAGTGCCACCCCAGGGCTCTCAGTGCCACCCCAGGGCCACCAGGGCCACCCCAGGGCTCTCAGTGCCACCCCAGGGCCACCAGGGCCACCCCAGGGCTCTCAGTGTCACTCCAGGGCCACCAGGGCCACCTCAGGGACACCCCAGGACAGCAGCTCCCACAGCGGGGACAGCGGGGACAAGGACAGCGGTGTCACCCTCAGTGCCACCTCAGGGACACCCCAGGGCTCTCAGTGTCACCCCAGTGTCACCCCAGGACAGCAGCTCCCAGAGCGGGGACACTGGGGACAAGGGGACAGAGCTGTCACCTCCAGTGCCACCACCCCAGTCCCTCCCAGCACCTTTCCCATTCCCCCCAGTCCCATTCCCAGTTTGATCCCAGTCCCTCCCAGT